TATATATATATATATATATATACTTTAAATATGCATGATATTTACAATTATCCTTGTTGATATATGATTCACTGCTTTTTAGTTACGTGAGTTAGAGAGAGGCGTTGATATTCTAGTTGCTACACCTGGACGCTTAGTTGATCTGATTGAAAGAGCAAGGGTCTCACTTCGCAATATCAAATACTTGGCTTTAGATGAAGCTGATAGGATGCTGGATATGGGTTTCGAGCCTCAGATCCGCAAGATTGTTGAGCAAATGGACATGCCACCTCCCGGCATAAGGCAGACAATGCTTTTTAGCGCGACATTTCCAAATGAGATTCAGGTTTGTTATGGATAAGCTTTTTCCCTTAACAACATAAATAATTATTTGACAGCTGGTAATATTTCTTGGTGACAATTTCTAGAGATGCAGTGTGTAGGAACAATATAATTTGAGTTTCCTTTCATGGATAATCCAATCAACTTGGCCTTGAATAGCAAGCTTATGTACATGCTGAAATTGTAGCTTCTCACACTGGCTAGCACTTATACTCTTGATGCGGTGATAATGAATTGCAGGTCAATTTGTCTGCATTGGGAAAAATAGACTATATGTTGCGTGATTGTTCTGTCTTCCAATCAAAAATTTGTTATTTCTTGGACTGTTTATGCCCTTTAGCTTTGCTAATAAGAAAGGTGCCTCAGCTGTCTTCTTAATTGAAATATTAACTCTCTTGATAATATGTTTCATGATTGTTAGGTCTGCCAATCAACAATTTGTTCTTTCTTGGACGATATTTTAGCCCCTTAGTTTTTCCTTTAAGAAAAGGTGCCTCATCTGTATTATTAAGTATAATATTAACTCTCTACTTCCTTTTACATTTTGTTTATGATTGAATAATCATTCTTTTGTAGCGGTTAGCTTCAGACTTTTTGTCGAATTATATATTTCTGGCTGTTGGAAGGGTTGGGTCTAGCACAGATTTAATCACCCAAAGAGTTGAATATGTTCCAGATATGGATAAGAGAAGCCACCTGATGGATCTTCTCCATGTCCAAAAAGTTAATGGATCTACAGACAAGGTACTGATCACTTACATATGTATGGAAAAGATCTTCACCATTTGTCTTGCTTGGATTTTGTCATTTGCCTAAAAAAGCAATGTGCATGACCTTGATATGATATTCTTGTGTTGTCCTCCAGCAATCTTTAACCTTGGTTTTTGTGGAAACAAAACGAGGTGCGGATTCTTTAGAATATTGGTTATCTTCTAATGGCTTCCCTGCAACAGCTATACATGGAGATCGTACTCAGCCTGTAAGTTATATTACATTCTTCAGCATTTCTACTTGTTATGTTGGGTTTACTCCCAGCCTGTATGTTATAAAATCAATGTGCATGACCTTGGATGACTTGACCCTTGGATGACTTGACTCTCTGATTCAGTGTCTACTTATGACAATAAATTTTTTATTGCTAAACTTCTTTAAATTATTTACAATTCATATGTTAGAGATCCTGATATTAAAATTTTCTAACTATTCAAAGACTTGTAATGATGCTTATTTGGGGTTAATGTCCATTGATGTTTCTCATTTTATGGATGTTTTTAATATTATAAATTTTCACTGGGAAAGTGGATCTGGCTGCCTATATGTCCATAAATTTTGCTAAATAGCATCACTTTTTCCATTATTTTCACCAGTTTAAGAGTTTGGGTGGCTTTCTTCTTCCCCTATCATTATCTCAAAATATAAAGAATATTAAAGGTGAAGCAATTTGGTGCAGTGAATCTGGGTGATTTGAACTGGAATTGGGTTGGACAGATGAGTGTTTGTATGTTTTTTTCCTTCTTGAAAGTTCTTGTTTGCAAGGAGAACTACATGTTAATTTTAGTTCATGCAAAAATATGCACGGAATGCTTGACCTTTTGATCCAGATAGCTATTCATAATAGTATGTTACAACTTAAATTTATGCTTAATGTACCGATGTGCTCTTTGCAGGAGCGTGAGAAAGCTTTAAATTCCTTCAAGCGAGGTTGGACTCCAATCATGGTAGCTACAGATGTGGCTGCTCGTGGTCTCGACATCCCTCACGTGGCTCACGTGATCAACTTTGATCTCCCTAAAGACATAGATGACTACGTGCATCGAATTGGCAGAACAGGCCGAGCTGGCAAATCCGGCTTAGCTACAGCATTCTTCAACGATGGAAACCAATCACTGGCCAAGTCTCTAGCTGAGCTCATGCAGGAAGCAAACCAAGAAGTCCCAGATTGGCTTGTAAAATATGCTGAAAGATCATCTTATTCAAGTGGGAGAAATCGTAGGTCTGGTGGCGGTAGCAGATTCGGTGGCCATGATTATCGAAAGGACTCTTATTCGAGGAGAGGGAGTTATAGTTCTCACTCTTACGGAGGTAGTGATGGTGGTCACAGCTCGGGGGTTGTTGGAGGGTCTTATTATACTACGGGTTATGATTATAATGGACCGATCATTGCATCAGGGTGGGATTGAAGATTTTAGGAGCTTACTTTTGCTGACAGTACATAGCTGTTATTATTATATAATATAAATGCCTCATATATTGGTTTTGGACACAAAGATATGGCTTACTGAATGGGTGGAGGTGTAGCCTTGTAGTTAAGTTTGGTTTTGGACACAAAGATATGGCTTACTGAATGGGTGGAGGTGTAGCCTTGTAGTTAAGTTTAGGTCTTGCAGTGCTTTGTTCTCATGGGTGGAGGTGTAGCCTTGTAGTTAAGTTTAGGTCTTGCAGTGCTTTGTTCTCTTTTTGTGGATAAGCCTCCTTCTGATTTGGATTTGGAAACTCAGTGTTAGATCAGACATGGTTGATTTCTTGCTAATTATGACTTCAATTAAGGTATTATTGAATGCCACTGTTTGCTCAAGTTTTTTTTCTCTATTATGCGCAGCTCTTGGATCATTTATTGTATCAAATGTTTTGTTCCTAGGGGGATGTTGAGCTTGCAGAGTCTTTTTGCTGGATGTTGTAGACTTGTAGTTCTGGTGTTGGCTGCTGTTCTCCGATGTGTTTATTATGCTTTTGGCCTAGATTTGTTTTTGCTGACATTGTCTATGCCTTTATGGTGTTCTTATTTCGCAAAGAGTTCTGTTCTGTCTGAAGATTTGGATGGGGTGAATTGAGTGTAAATCATTTAAAAAAACCCTTTCTTGAAATGACTTTTTTTTGTCTGGATAGAGTCACTTTTTTAAGGAAATGGATGTCTTGGAAGTACTTGAATCAGTCCGAGTAATAGAAAACTCACTTCCTAGTTAATTTGAAATGCCCTTTTTTTTCGAAATGAAATTTCTCCCCTTTCTCTTTTTCCAAGACAGCAACCAAACTATCCCCCAAAATTAGGGGGTGCATTTGGTCCGGATACGGCTCAGATATATTGGTAATAAAAATTCACATTCATATCCGTTAAAACCGGATACAAATGCCGATATACATGCAGATATATAAACGAATATGCATGCGGATACAAAACTGATATGAGAAAACTAGATGGTATTAAAAAAATGTAGTTCGTATGATACAAAAGAGTTCATTAATATGTTCATTATATTTAAAAAGCTAATATTAGACATCTTGATCATCAAAACTAACCTCAAATCTAGGGGTGGGCAAAAACCGAAACAAACCGGTTCAACCGAAAAAACCGCCCGAAAAAACGGATCGGTTAACCGAACCGAATTAAATGGATGAGAAGAAGTCTCTAAACCGCCCGAACCGAATTAAACCGGTCTGGATCCGGTTTGACCCCCTGAACCGCCCAAAAAAAACCGAACCGAATTCTTAAACAAAAAATAGCTGCGAGCCTTGGGTGTGAAGAAAATTTATGGCTGAATGTTTAGCATTTAAGAATTGTGGGGTGGAGTTTATACTAACGTATATTTGAGTACGCTGATATAGTTAAGTGAGATTTCCGTAAATCAATACAAGATGTTGAGGTTGAAGGATAAATTTAGTGTTTTGGTCAAATTTCAGTGATAACATGAATACAGCTTGCTGGTGCTGGATATCAAATTAACCTATAGTATAGGCTGTCAAGGATATAAGATAATTCTTGATGAGAAAAAGGCAGCTAAAAATTAACGAAAATCATCAAAAGGTGTGTGTGCCTGCCAAACATTGTTCTTTCTCTAAAAAAGGCTACATAATTACATGGTCCTCCTAGTGTATTAAGCTAGTTATATTCAGATCATACAATTTGATTAAGTGGCTTAGTACAGTTTTGATTATTTCTTTTCAGTTTTGATTGCTTCTTTTCAGTTTTGGATATAACTAAAACTTACCCAGATTTTTGTGAAATGGAGTTAATTCGGTTCAAAACCGAAACCGAACCGAACCGAACCGAATTTTGGTTGGGCCGAATATTCGGATGAAGGGGAAAAAATCTGGATCTGGATGAGAGTTTTAAGAATCCGAAAAATTCGGATTGGATGCGGATTGGGCTTAAAACCGAACCGAACCGAATACGCCCAGCCCTATTCAAATCCATAATCTAAGGATTAAAACTATAGTAACAATATGCCTAATATGCATTTCGATATTTCATATACGGATCCAGATATTTCACCATAAAACAATATCCGTACATGTATCCTATCAGTTATAGATTTTAGTATCCATGTTCACATCCTAACGGATACAGCCCTAGAGTGATAGTAAGTCAGTAGATATTGATTAGATTTGTATTGAAAAATACATCTCGGGGAATACTATGCGGAGGCACTCAAGCTAGTCTTATAGAAATCCTACAAAAAAGGGGGCATTTTGATGAAAACTGAAAATATTACCATGAAAAGTGTTCGTGTAGACGTCCACTTTTCTATATTGTATCATAAATCCGCTTTCAAAAAACATGCCTAAACAGTTAGATGTACCCCCTTTCCCATGGTTAGGTGACTGGTTCTTGTTGTACAGAGTCAATATCTTCTGCAGATGCGAGATTGTTGAACAATTAACACACTTTTCTTTATTTTAGCTTCGGTTTTTCACTCGCGTAATTAGTTAAATAATAAATAAAAAGTTATTCGAGTTATTGATTGTTAGATTATTCTTATACACGTGGATCAAACATGGGCAACAAAAAAATTATGGCAAACTTTAAGGCCTAACACTGCTAAAATATATTCATAACAATTTTGAAAGTACTAAAGTTTGCTTTGAACAAAATCCAAGAACAAAGCGTGCACATTTTTGGACAATGTCAGTCTTAACCTATGTTATTACTATAACTTAGGTGTTTGAAATATTGTCTTATACTAGTTGTTACCCATGCTATGCGCTGCATAAAATTAATATTCTTGTATGTACATTAGACTTTTGGGTAGAGAGAGAGAGAGAGGATACAAATAAGATATTTTTGGAAAGAGAACAAAATGAATAACTTTTAAGAAATTGAAAGACAAAGAATAGAGATTTCCAATAGGTAAATGGAAGTAGATTATGATGAGATGGTTGAAAAAAGATTATTAATTATTAAATGTTAGAGCCTTTAAAATTTGCCAAGTGGCAAAAACTGTTAAAAATTGAAATCTTTTTTTTGATAAAAAAACAAGGGATATACCATGTTCAATTAAAAATAAAAGTATGTGATACAAAGGTTTTGGATACGAAGTGTATCCTGATGTTAGATAACAGTAGGGTTAGTTCCTTATGACTAGGGATGCATGACATTCTTCTTCCAGGGATCCATGAAGGTGAAGAGAGGGCCTTGCCGTCATTCACCGTTGACATAGATACAAGAAAGAACCAAAGCCAGCAATACATATAGTTACAAGGAACTAAAATACTAATGTCTAACATGAAACATAAAGTTTAAAAGTTATCAAAAGAATATTTACAAGTAGAACTCTCCAAAAAAGCTTTCTAGGCAAACTGTCAGATACATCATCATGCACTGCTCCTGGAAAGAGGATTGGTTTCCAACATTGCCGAGACTTGTTGAGCTTTTGTTCCGGTTTTTGAACCTGACCAGTCATATAAACAAGAGATTGCAGTGTTAATGATAGAATGATGACTGAAATTTGCATGCTCAAAGAGATATTTATTCCTTGCAATCCAAATACTCCGCCATACTGAAGAGAAGATAGAACGCCATATATATATCCTTTGGTACTTTGTAATGTCTCCAGGGTATGAATAAGTTCATCAAGAGTAGAAGGCCATTGGAATGAAAAAAAGAAGTTTCTGAAATGATCCCAGACTTGCTTCGATAGTGAGCAAGAGAAGAAGAGATGGTCTCTAGTTTCCAATTGAAGTGAACAAAAAGGGCACATAGAGTCATTTTGCCAGCCTTTTTTCAAGAGATTCTCCTTGGTGTTTAGTCTATTAAGACATAATAACCATGTAAAAAATCGTACCTTACTAGGCAGGATTTGATTCCAAGTGAGATTATAAGTTGAAGATCTGATTCCTCTCAAAATAAGAAATTTGTAAAAAGAGTTAACTGAGAAGACTCCATTTGTTGTAAGGGACCACTTTGGTTGATCAGGCTGGTTGAAAATATTGTATTTTCTTAACAAATGCATGAGCTCTATTTTGTCAGCTTGAGAGGTAGGTGATAAACATTGTATGCGCGGGAAATTACGAGAAACTCGAGAATTGAATCTGTGTTATTCTCTCTAACTGACTTAGAAAAAGAATGATTACAATCCTCTCAATATAATTTCTGTCTAACTGACTTAGAAAAAGAAACTATAGTTTCCTTTATTGGTTCCCCGATTTACAAAAGAGGGAAGGATGAAACCCTCCCTTTGTTTAAAACTGGGTTCTTTCTTTGTGACGATGGGAGTTTGAATCTTGTATCCCGTTGACGATCCGAGCACTTCAACTTCGTAGGGTGTTGGTCTTCTCTCCTTGACTTGACGCCTTGAGAGAACTTGGGAGGCAAGTTTATAACTCCAGGCGAGTTTGAAAGAAACTTGTTTGAACAAGTTAGAAACTCTCTGTGAGAGAGTTGAGAAACTCTAGCCGAGTTTAAATCCCCAAGAAGGGTTGATTTTAGAGAGAATATGAAACTCAAGAAAACTAACCCAAATGGGTTTAAAGAGCAAGCCAAAAAGCTCTAAGAAAAGCTCCAAGAAAGCTCCAAGAATGCTCCAAGAATCCTCTCTAAGAAGCCTCTCTCCTTCCCTTTCTTCTCTCTTTTGATCCCCATTTTCTCCTCTTTTTTCCCAGCCTCTGGCTTGCTGGAGATCCAACCCTATTTATAGGGTTATCATGGAGTAAGGTACCCCATAACAGGCCCTTAACTGTGCCCATACCTTGATGGGACAGTTTTGAAAAGTGTTCCAGCGTTAAAAACGCAAGGGTCACGTTCTGGAGAGAAAAACGTGGGTGAACTCTGCATCTGACGACCTTCGCGTCTGGCGACCTCCGCGTCTGAGCTTGGGACGAACTCCACGTCTGGTGATCTCTGCGTCTGACGACCTCTGCGTTTGACGACCTCTGCGTCTGGCGACCTCCGTGTCTGGCGACCTCCGCGTCTGGCGACCTCCGCGTTTGGATTTGTAGAGATCGTTAATTGTAATCTCTTTCCTTTGACTTCTGTGCAGATTGTCATTTTATAATCTTTACACTTGGCCTTTGTGGAATATGAGAGTCGTCAATTTGCAACTCTAACACGTTGCTGTGAAAGTCTTTACATTGTAACTTTCATTGACTATTTGCGGAGGCCGTTAGATTGTAACTTTCGCTTGTTGATGTAAAGAACGTCAGATTGTATCTTTCATCATCTGCTGAATCTGTGGTGATCAGCTATCTGTAGTAATTTTTTAGATAGCCTACAGAACCCCCTCCAAAGTTTTCGAAAGTTCGTGGTTTACTGGAACGAATTTTTGGAATACTTTGGATCACAAAATGATTTTCATGATTCTGTATACAATAGGATT